AATAATGCACACCCGAGGTGTAACGGCACCTCGGGTGTGCATTATTTTTCTAATAATTCAACGGCCCGTCGTCAATTATTCCTTACATAATTTGGGCTTCCAGCTCATAAAACCCACGAAAACAGGAATTCAAAAAATTAGAATACTGTGAAGACATCACCATTTACTTCTCAGTAAAGAAAGAAATTAGGATCAAATCAATCAAAATATGGTACTTTCAAAACGATATGTCAATCTTCAACACTTGGTTGGGAATCCCTTTGCCTTAATCGCTGCCTCGATGCGCCGTGGCATTGAGGCAATCAGCCTGTGGCATTGCCTGGGAGTTATAGAAGCCCAGATATCCTTGATGCTTGCTGTCAGCTCTTCTTTGTTTTTGGGTTTGGTGGACCTCATTTTCCTCTTCTAATTTTTTGGAAAGTGTCTGTAGAAACTATAAATACAATATGTTGTTCACATGTGCAAGGTACGCGCTTCACCAGAGAAATATGAACGTTTCCATGTACGCCAGGGCTGTCAAACTCCAGTATTTTGGGGTTTCTCCTCATTTAACACACCTGATTCAGCTCCTTGTGCTAATTACCACACAGCTCTTGAGGTGAAACATTTGTGGTAGAAGAGAGAAAGGACTAAGCAGCACAGGGCTCCGGCCCCCCAGGACTGGAGTTTGACACCCCAGGTGTGGATACGTGAGTGTTGTGCTTGTGCAGAGAAGTACGAACCAGACATTAAGAGGACACGCTACTGTACTTGATTATGATTAAAATGACTATACCTTATTGATCCCAATGGGGAAATTCATTTTTCACCTCCCCCATCCATGAGAGAGATTCAAGCTGGGCAGTGAAGGGCAGCCACCCAGAGCAGCACCCAGAGAGCTGGGGGTTAAGGGCCTCGCTCAAGGGCCCCGCTCAAGGGCCCCGCTCAAGGGCCCACAGACATGCTGAGGCCGGGCTTGAACTGAAGACCTTCCCACGACAAGAAGCACTTCCTGCTTTTGAGGAAGCCAAGCCAGTACTTTTGTCAGAGTGAAAGATTCCTTTCCCATGTGGGGAGTTAAACCCGGGCTACCTGGGTGAAAACCGGGATTCCTCACAGCTAGACCATATGGGACATTCTTACATTCATGTGCTGTAGAATTTCATTCACTACTGACTGTAACATAATGATTGCTCAGGTGCACAGAGATTAACGATAGCCCCAGGAGAATGGGCTCCCCCTTTGGGTCTGGTCCCTTCCAAGTTGTTCCTTGCCACTGTCGCCTATGGCTTTCTCACTGGGGGCTTTGGGTGGGGATGCTGTAAAGCGCTTTGAGACAATGTAATGTTGTGAAAACGCGATATAAAAAAATAAATTTGTTTGTTGTTTGTATATGAAACAGGTCTGATTAGAATATTTAAAATGACCAGCAGTTCAGTGCTTACTGAACAAACAGCTGTTTAACTTGAAGAGTATGAAATCCTGGAAGCATGAACACAGAAGGTCTATTGCCTCCCTGTTGTCACACCTGAATGGTGTCCACAGCGCCCCCTAATGGCTTCAGAAGGTTTTACTCATTCTGGAGATTACTTGAAATGACCCAGTAAATGCCCGCAAAGGAGAAGTGTTTATGCAGGAGATTGGGCCTCACGTAGTCTCCTGGGACACCTTGCCTAATGTTAGATTGGCTTGTCTGTGATTGATAGAGCAGTGGCTCCCCCTTATGACAGTTTGGCTCTCAGAACAAACCTCAAAGCCCAAACAAACCCCAGGCCTGCTCCCCAGACTGCTCTGTTCCAGTGCCGTTCCAGTGAACTGGTTTGGGCTAAGTGCTCCACTCAGGTGTTTGATAAATGTGAACCCCGAACCTGTAACCTTTATGTCACAAGCTCTCCCCCTTAACCACCAGGGCCTCAACAGACACACCGAGAAATGAGGCCCAGTTTTTATACATGACTCGGCTGTACTAAAACCCGCGGCTGTTTCCTATTTAAACCAGTATCTGTCCGGAAGCATAGGGATAATTGCATAATTGCAAGGCAATTTCTATTCAGACACTGTGTCAAAGTGCATTTAATTGCTTGAGATTCATAGTCCATGCTTTTTAAATACAGACTATGCTGGAGAAATAATGGCTTGACCCTGGAGGCAAATGTCATGGTGAGTAACTGGAGTCACTCAGACGCCGCCACTGTCTGGTCATGGGGCCCTAAAGGACAGCGAGCCTCAGTCTGTCAACAAACAGGAGATTTGACCCATTGGTCTGACCTGCCACACATCATTACACAGCAGACACCCCATTGGTTCTCCAAATTGCTGGATTTA